GCCCTGGCTCAGTGTTAGGGAATCCTGGGAATTGTAGTTTATTGTGGTGCCAGGACTCTCTGGCTAAATATCTCACTACCCTACAAATCCCAGGATCCCATAGCATTCAGCCCTGGCAGTTAAAGTGGCACCAAACTGGATTATTTCTGCAGTGTGGATACAGCTCTAACACCAGTAGCTGGTGGATTTTGTGGATTTGGGATATTATTGTATTTTGCTATATGGCCAACATGAGCCAGCGTGGCGTAGTGGTTTCAGTGTTGGACTATGGCTCAGAAGACCAGGATTCGATTCACTGCTTGGACAAGAAATTCACTGTGTGACTTTGGGCAAGACACACCCTCTCAGTGTCAGAAGGCAATCGCAACACCCTCTGAACAAATCTTACTAAGAAAATCCTGTAACAGTTTGTTGTGACTAGTTCTCTGGAAGATGAGGGTTCAGTTCACTAGGAAGCCACAGAAATCCACTGGTTAACCTTGGGCAAATCACACTCTCTCACCTCAGAAGGCAATGGCAATCCCCTCTGAACAAATCTTGCTAAGAAAATCCTATAACAGGTTGTTGTGACTCGTTCTCTGGAAGATGAGGGTTCAATTCACTAGGAAGCCACAGAAATCCACTGGTTATCCTTGGGCAAATCACACTCTCTCAGCCTCAGATGGGACTCTGAAAGGGGAGGAAGCAGCCTTCAGAGCTCCATCGGGCTCTGAAAGGGAGAGGATGAGAGGCTTCAGAGCTCCATGGGGCATAAGCCCCATGGACTCTGAAGTGTGGGGCGGAGGGAAGGGATAGGGTCATCAGAAATGTCCTGAAGGCTCACAACATACATGCACACAACCAAATCACATTGTCTAAGCATCAGAGGATGCCAGTGGCAAACCCCCTCTGACGAAGCTTACCAAGAAAACCCCGGGATAGGTTCTCCAGAAATGCCCTGAAGGCTCACAACACACACATTCCCAAGTCTGGGAGGAGGAGAAGGAAACAGCGTCCCTCAGGGGACTGTGCCTCGTGGTGGGCATGGCTTCTGGCTGGAATGGAGAGAACTAGGGAGAACTGGACCACAGCAAGGAGCCGGCCGCCGCTCCTTTCTTGTGGCCACAGCATGCCCTGTGACACAGCTTTGCGTGCAACAAACAGCGTGCATGCCACGGGTTCGCCAACGCGGTCATAGGGTTTTCTTTCAAGGAAGGTCCTTTAAAAAGTGTTCTTTCAGATGTAGCCATTTTTTTTAAATACAAGGGAAGTATTTGCTTCCTTTTAAAAATGTTTTGATTTTTAAAAAATCCATAAATGCTTGGAATGTATTTGAATATAAAATTGAAACCAAATATGCTAAATCTGATAACATCATTGAGGGGGAATTTTTTTTTTGGAAAAATTTCCAGTTCTGCTTTTTGGGGGAAACCTGCATCATTGTTTTGAGCCTTTGTTACTACAGGAGATAAGAAGCTGTCTTTGTACTACGTCAGACTATTTCTCCAGCTCTTATTGGCAGGCAGTGATCTTCTGAGTTTTTCTGCAAAGCAAGCTCTTGCCCATCATGTTACCCTCTTAACAGAATGTATTCCTTGGTGATACAAGAGAGAGCATCTCTTTTTCTTTGTAACTGTTATTGTTGTTAACCACCTTTGAGTTGGTCTCAACCCATGGCGACCCTGTAGATGAGACATCTCTGCAATCCTTGTCCTCCACTGCTTTGCTCAGGTCTTGCAAACTCAAGCCCATGACCTCCTTGATTGTGTCTGTGCATCTGATATGTGGTCTTTCTCTTTTTCTACTACTTCTACCTTTCCTAGCATTATTGTTGTTTCCATTGAGTCCTGTCTTCTCGTGACATAGCCAAAGTACAACAGCCTCAGTTTAATCATCTTGGCTTCCAGGCAGATTCCAGTCTTGATCCATCTAGGACCTATCTGTTTCTCTTTTTGGCTATCGCAGTGTCCTTAGCCCTCTTTTCCAGCGCCAAGTCTCAAATGAATTGATCCTCCTCGAAGCTCTTGCATGCATACATGATGATGGCTTGTACGATTCTAACTTTGGTGCTCAGTTGTATATCTTTGCAATTTAGGATCTTTTCTAGTTCCTTCATAGCTGCCCTCCCCATTCTTAGTCTTCTGATTTTTAACTGTAGCTTGAGACAAAACATAAAAACAGAAACTGATGTCCTACCTCAGTGAGCACAACAAAGCCAGCTGGATCTGTATATCGAGGGGAGCAAAGAGGGTCAACACTGAGGAGGAGGAAATGGCCTTGCAGCAGGTGGATATATGGATGGCAGACTGAACCACAGAGGGAGAGGAGGTCTGTGGAAAGTGGGGAAGAAGGAGACCCATCTGTAGGGGTGTGTCTAGGGCAGAGTCCATGTTCCCCAAGGAGACATTTCTTGGAAGATGATAGAACAGCTGGAGTGGGGAGTGGGAGGAGGGGAGATAGGCATGGAAACGTGACAAAAGTTCTGGCTATTAAACTGGGAAGTTATTTTGCATTTTATGTTATTTTACAGATTTGATGTTCTACCTTTAAAGCAGGAATTGGCAAAGAGGCCTGGGACCACATATTCCTTCCCCCAGCTGTTTTTGCCTCTCTTACACTCTCCAGACTGCTGTGTTGTTGTTTTTTTCTGGCCAAAACAAAGGGGTGAATTGCCACTCTTGGCAACCTCCAGTACTGACAATGCACCTTTATAATACATTGCAGGCCTATTTTCTAACATTAAAAAATGGCAGTTTCACAAAAGCAGAAGTGAACTTTCATGTGATTTCTTTTGATTTGAAGGAGAGTGTTTGAGCAAAAAATCATTGTCTTGGACCCTTAATGACAGTCATTCCAAACAACACAACATTCCATTCACATGGTATTTATTAGAAGTGAAGAGTGGGTGAGCAAATCTTTGTTTCCCCTTTTGGTGATCAAAGTAGAAATTACACTTAGAACACTGGCATGGCTGGGAGAATATTCTGCGTATGTGTTGCAGTAGTTAATTTCACACCAGAAGCTGAATGGGATTGTTATGTTTTCTGCTAAAACTGCATGCTGCTTTTTATATTGTATATATTTTGCTGTTGTTGTGTGCCTTCAAGTAGTTTCTAATTTACGTTTATCACACGGGGGAAAAGCTGGGATTAAAAAGGCATTTTCCTGGCAAAGTCCTGAGATTGTGGCAAGACACATCATGATTAGAGAGGAGTTATTCTGGGAATAACCCGGTAATAACCAGCAACAAATCAATAAATCAATAAATCTTTTATTGATTAGCTCATTGGCCATTTCAAAAAAATATAGCAAGATAAAATTCAAAGAGTGTTACACAAAATTAAAATTAAGAATGAAGAAAAATACATATAAAATACATATAAATGAAAATAAAATATCATATGATTACAGTAATGTAAAAACAATACAATGGCTAACATTTTCCTAGCAAGTAAAACAAAGAATAACATCAAACATCAGATTTCTTCATCGCCCCTACAATTTACACAAATCAACCCCACATATAGCAACAAATCATTCATGGGATTTCCCCATTAATTATTTTTTGCTGGTTATTTCCTGGTTATTCCAGGGATAAGTCCTCGTTCATAGTGACGTCATCTGAAAATCTTAGCCGCAATCTCAGGACTTTGCTGGGAAAATGCCTTTTTAATCCCAGCTTTCCCCCATATGATAAAGTCCTTAGACTAGCCTGTCATAGGTTTTTCTTGGCAAGTATCTTCAGAGGGGTTTTTGCCATTGCTATCCTCTGA